GTCAAAATGTGATTGGTTGATTCCGCTGTCACTCCCAAAATGTTGCCCTTATACAGTTGAATGGCAGATGCCTTCTATCTAGCTTCTGATGTCCTAGCTAATAATAATATGCCATTTAGCAGACGCTTTTATCCAAAGCGACTTACAGTCATGCGTGCATACATTTTTGTGTATGGGTGGTCCCGGGGATCGAACCCACTACCTTGGTGTTACAAGCGCCGTGCTCTACCAGCTGAGCTACAGAGGACCACGCAGCTGACTTAGCTAGCTAGATTTATCTCCCCAGAGACCACCAAAGAAAAATACGGATTGGATATTATTTTATCTTCAGTGTTAACCATTTCCAACAAAAACTGAAGAGATCAAATCAGAACATCATTGAAAATAATAATATAATTAGAATCAGTATTATTATTATTATTATTTTATAAATAGTAATAATTTGTAGAGTGTCTCCATTTGCCCTCAGCATGCATGTCTAAAGAATCCATACAGTACCAGTCAAAAGTTTGGTCACACCTACTCATTCAAGGGTTTTTCTTAATTTTTACTATTTTTTACATTGTAGAATAATAGTGAATACATCAAAACTATGAAATAACACATATGGAATCATGTGGTAACCAAAAAAGTGTTAAACAAATCAAAATATATTTTCAATTTGAGATTCTTCAAATAGCCACCCTTTGCCTTGATGACAGCTTTGCACACTCTTGGCATTCTCTCAACCAGTTTCATGAGGTGGTCACCTGGAATGTAGTGTAGGTTATTCTGAAAGATGAACACAGAAATACTGGACATTTTGAACTCTTATTATCGTGGTGTTTTGACAAAATTACAATCATGGTCTTGAATTGGACTCGCATTTTTCTGATCTCGGTCTTGACTTGGTCTCGCCCCCACTCCGGTCTTGACTTGGACTTGATTTGCTCCGGTCTTGGTCTTGAATCGGTCTCGCTTAAGGTGGTCTCGAACACAACGCTATGCTTGAAAATATGGAGCGTGGTCAATAATTTGTTGTTTTGGATTTTCTCCAAACATAACACTTTGCCACATTATTTTTGCAGTATTACTTTAGTGCCTTATTGCAAACAGGATGCATGTTTTGGAATATTTTTATTCTGTACAGGCTTCCTTCTTTTTACTCTGTCAATTAGATTAGTATTGTGGAGTAACTACAATGTTGTTGATCCATCCTCAGTTTTCTCCTATCACAGCCATTAAACTCTGTAACTGTTTTAAAGTCACCATTGGCCTCATGGTGAAATCCCTGAGCGGTTTCCTTCCTCACCAGCAATTGAGTTAGGAAGGACTCCTGTATCTTTGTAGTGACTGGGTGTATTGATACACCATCCATAGTGTAATTAATAACTTCACCATGCTCAAAGGGATATTCAATGTCTGTTTTTTTTTTTTTTTACCCATCTACCAATAGGTGCCCTTCTTTGCGAGGCATTGGAAAATCTCCCTGGTCTTTGTGGTTGAATCTGTGTTGGAAATTCACTGCTCGGTTGGGGGACCTTACAGATAATTGTATTTATGGGGTACAGAGTTGAGGTAGTAATTCAAGAATAATGTTAAACAATATTATTGCACACAGAGTGAGTCCATGCAATTTATTATATGATTTGTTAAGCACATTTTTACTCCTGAAATTATTTATGCTTGCCATAACAAATGGGTTGATAATTTATAGACTCAAGACATTTCACCTTTTCATTTTAATCAATTTGTAAACATTTTGAAAAACATTATTCCACTTTGACATTATGGGGTATTGTGTGTAGGCCAGTGACCAAAAATCTGAATTATAATCAATTTTAAATTCAGGCTGTAACACAACAAAATGTGGAAAAAGTCATGGGGTGTGAATACTTTCTGAAGGTACTGTATACCTATGAAGGATAAGCTAATTTGTAAGTGATGAATATTAATAGCTCAAACATTTGATCTGCAAAAATTACAAGTTAATTTGTGGTTGATGGTGATTTCAGAACCACAGTGGGGGGACAAAAAACATAGGCTACATTGCCCCCCCCCTCGTTCCCTAATCTGATAGGGTAGGGGGGGGGTTATGTCTACTTTTAGGGCTCAATCTGTTTTTTTGGTATTGGGGGGGTAATTCCCCTTATGGCTTTAATTTGTTGTGGTATGGGGTGGTAGATGTCAAACCCTCCTTTATGGCTTTTAATCTGATATTGTAGGGGGGTTTTAGTCCTCTCCTTAAATTGGCTCAAATTTCTGTAGGGTATTGGGGTGGTAATGTCAGTTTTCCCTTTTTGGCTTTTAATCATAGGGGTAGTGGGGGGGTAGATGTTTTTCTTTATGGTTCTAACTGATAGGGGTTTAAGTGGGGGGGTTTTGTCAAGTCTCCTTTAGGGTTTCTAACTGATAGGGGTTGTGGGGGGTAAAATGTCTGTCCCTCCTTTAGGGCTCAAATCTGATAGGGTAGGGGGGGGGAGAGGCTCCCCCTTATGGCTCTAATCTGTAGTGGAGTGGGGTGGTAGTGCCCCTAGTCTCCTTTTGGCTCTAATCAAAGTGGTAGGGGGTGGTAATTCTAGTCTCCTTTATGGTCAATCGATAGGGGTATTTGGGGGTTGGTAGATGTCAGTCCCCCTTAGGGCTCTAATCTGATGTGGGGTGGGGGGGTTAGATGTTTTCCCTTTTTATGGTTTAAATTTTCTAATAGTGGTGGGGGGGGGTAATGTCTACCCTTTTTTAGGGGCTCTAATCTGATAGGGGTAGTGGGGGGTAGAGGCCCTTCCTTTATGGCTCAAATTTTGGGGGTTTTGGGGGGGTGATTGTCTTTTTTAAATGGCTCAAAATCTGATGTGGTTGGGGGGGTAGATGTCTATCTCCCTTTTTTGGCTCTAATCTGTTTGTGGTAGTGGGGGGTTTTAGTCCCCCTTTAAATGGCTCAAATCTGATAGGGGTTTTGGGGGGGTTTTTTCTAGCCCTCCTTATGGCTCTAATCGATAGGGGTTTTGGGGGGGTGGTAGTGTTTTCCCTTAGGGCTCCTAATCGGATAGTGGTAGGGGGGGGGGGTTAGATTTTTCCTTCTTTTGGCTCAATCTGAAGTGGTAGTGGGGGGGTTAGATTCTGGGCCCTTTATGGCTCTAATTTTGGGGGTTAGGGGGGGTAGTTTTTCTAGTTTTTTTTAAATGGCTCTAATCTGATGGTGGTATTGGGGGGGTAGATGTCTTTTTTTATGGCTCTAATCTGAAAAGGGGAAAGTGGGGGGGTAGAGGTCTAGTCCCCCCTTATGGCCCCAAATCTGATATTTAAGTGGGGGGGAAAGATGTCTAGTCTCCTTTAGGGCTCTAATCTGATATTGGTATGGGGGGGTAAGTTTTCCTTTATGGCTCAAAATCGGGTAGGGGAAAGGGGGGGTTGGTAGATGTTTTTCCTTTTATGGCTCAAAATCTGATAGTGGTGTGGGGGGGGAAGGCCCAGTCTCCTTTAGGGCTCAAAATCGGGGAAGGGGTTAGGGGGGGGGTCGATGTTTTCCCTTTGGTTTTCTAATCTGATAGGGGGTAGGGGGGGGGGTGAGGGTCTATCTCCTTTATGGCTCAAATCTGATAGGGGGTAGGGGGGGGGAAATTTTCTCCTTTATGCTCAAATTTTGATAGGGGTTTGGGGGGGTTAGATGTCTGTCTCCTTTAGGGCTCTAACTGATAGTGGTAGTGGGGGGTGATTCTAGTCCCCCTTTATGGCTCTAATCTAAATTAGGGGTAGGGGGGTTTGGTAGTTTTCTCCTTTAATGGCCCCTAATCTGATAGGGGTATGGGGGGGTTAAAACCCCCTGCCCTCCTTTTTTGGCTCTAATCTGATAGTGGTAGTGGGGTGGTAAGGTCTCCCCTTAGGGGCCTCAATCTATATTGTGGGGGGGGGTTAAATGTCTGCTCCTTTTGGCTCAAATCTGATAGTGGAAATTGGGGGGGAAATTTCCCTTCCCTTAGGGCTCAAATCTGATAGTGGGGGGGGTGGAATGCCCTATCCCTTTTTTGGGCCTCTTTGAAGTGGTAGTGGGGGGTAATTCTAGTCCCCTTTTTGGGTTTCAACCCTGTTTGGGGGTATTGGGGGGTAAAATGTCCCCCTTTATGGCTCTAATCTGATGGGGTTAGTGGGGGGGTAGATGTTTTCCCTTTAGGGCTCTAATCTGATTGGAAATTGGGGTGGAAAGATTTTCTAGTCTCCTTTTTGGCTCAAATTTCGATAGGGGTAGGGGGGGGGTTAGAATGTTTTCCTTTAGGCTCTATTGTTTTAGTGGGGTTTTAGATTTCTATCCCCCTTTATGGCCCCTTTTCTGATAGTGGTAGTGGGGGGGAAATTTTCCCTTCCCTTTAGGCTCTAATCTGATGGGGGGTGGTTTTTTTGGGGGGGGGGTAAATGTTTTCCCTTAGGGTTTCCTAATCTGATAGTGGTAGTGGGGGGTAGATGCTAGTCTCCTTTATGGCTCAAATCTGATAGGGGTTTTAATTTTGGGTGGAAATTTTTTCCCCCTTTAGGGCCCCCCCCCCCCCCCCAAAAAAAAAAAAAAAATCCTAAAAAAAAAAAAATTTAAAAAAAAAAATAAAAAAAAACCCAACCCCCCAAAATCCCCAAAACCCCCAAACCCCCCCAAAAAAATCCCCAACCCCCCAAACCAAACACCCAAAATTTTCAAACCACATACACCACACACACCACACACACACACACACACACACACATACACACACACACACAAGTAGCTCAGAATGGAGGGGGGTGGTAGAGGACCGAGTGTCTGCGGGTTTTCGCTCCTCCCTTGAACTTGATTGACGAATTACGGTCACTAATTAGTAAGGAACTCCCCTCACCTGGTTGTCTAGGTCTTAATTGAAAGGGGAAAAACCAAAATCCCACAGACACTAAGCCCTCCATTGAATGAGTTTGACACTCCCGCTGTATGGTATCTAGATACGTATCGAATCGTCTTGAAAAGATCCTTATTGACTATACTTTTCCCCTTCCCACCAGCCTCAAGTGTGTCGCGGTGGGAGATTCTGCACCAGGACAAGGAGGAGTTGGAGCGGAGGTTTGAGCGGGAGCTGGAGGGTCTGCGTGTCCAGCAGCAGAGTGAGCTGGCCAGGCTGGAGGAGAGACTGAGGCAGTATCACAGCCTGGAGGTGCAACGCCTGGAGGACCAACAACAGGAGCAGATGCAGAGACTGCAGACACAGCAGCTGGAGCAGGTAGGGAGGGATACATACACACACACACCGTTTTTAGTCATTTAGCAGACGCTCTTATCCAGAGCGACTTACAGAAGCAATTAGGGTTAAGTGCCTTGCTCAAGGGCACATCGACAGATTTTTCACCTAGTCGGCTCAGGGGATTCAAACCAGCAAACTTTCGGTCAATGGCCCAACGCTCTTAACCACTAGATTACCTGCCGCAGTTACATATATACATACAGTGAGGGAAAAAAGTATTTGATCCCCTGCTGATTTTGTACATTTGCCCACTGACAAAGACATGATCAGTCTATAATTTTAATGGTAGGTTTATTTGAACAGTGAGAGAGAGAATAAATAAATAAAAATCCAGAAGAACGCATGTAAAAAAAAATATAAATTGATTTGCATTTTAATGAGGGAAATAAGTATTTGACCCCTCTGCAAAACATGACTTAGTACTTGTTGGCAATCACAGAGGTCAGACGTTTCTTGTAGTTGGCCACCAGGTTTGCACACATCTCAGGAGGGATTTTGTCCCACTCCTCTTTGCAGATCTTCTCCAAGTCATTAAGGTTTCGAGGCTGACGTTTGGCAACTCGAACCTTCAGCTCCCTCCACAGATTTTCTATGGGATTAAGGTCTGGAGACTGGCTAGGCCACTCCAGGACCTTAATGTGCTTCTTCTTGAGCCACTCCTTTGTTGCCTTGGCCGTGTGTTTTGGGTCATTGTCATGCTGGAATACCCATCCACGACCCATTTTCAATGCCCTGGCTGAGGGAAGGAGGTTCTCACCCAAGATTTAACGGTACATGGCCCCGTCCATCGTCCCTTTGATGCGGTGAAGTTGTCCTGTCCCCTTAGCAGAAAAACACCCCCAAAGCATAATGTTTCCACCTCCATGTTTGACGGTGAGGATGGTGTTCTTGGGGTCATAGGCAGCATTCCTCCTCCTCCAAACATGGCGAGTTGAGTTGATGCCAAAGAGCTCGATTTTGGTCTCATCTGACCATAACACTTTCACCCAGTTCTCCTCTGAATCATTCAGATGTTCATTGGCAAACTTCAGACAGGCCTGTATATGTGCTTTCTTGAGCAGGGGGACCTTGCGGGTGCTGCAGGATTTCAGTATTTCACGGCGTAGTGTGTTACCAATTGTTTTCTTGGTGACTATGGTCCCAGCTGTCTTGAGATCATTGACAAGATCCTCCTGTGTAGTTCTGGGCTGATTCCTCACCGTTCTCATGATCATTGCAACTCCACGAGGTGAGATCTTGCATCGAGCCCCAGGCCGAGGGAAGATTGACAGTTATTTTGTGTTTCTTCCATTTGCGAATAATCGCACCAACTGTTGTCACATTCTCACCAAGCTGCTTGGCGATGGTCTTGTAGCCCATTCCAGCCTTGTGTAGGTCTACAATCTTGTCCCTGACATCCTTGGAGAGCTCTTTGGTCTTGGCCATGGTGGAGAGTTTGGAATCTGATTGATTGATTGCTTCCTTTAAGAGTGTGCTCCTAATCTCAGCTTGTTACCTGTATAAAAGACACCTGGGAGCCAGAAATCTTTCTGATTGAAAGGGGGTCAAATACTTATTTCCCTCATTAAAATGCAAATCAATTTATAACATTTTTGACATGCGTTTTTCTGGATTTTTTTGTTGTTATTCTGTCTCTCACTGTTCAAATAAACCTACCATTAAAATTATAGACTGATCATGTCTTTGTCAGTGGGCAAACGTACAAAATCAGCAGGGGATCAAATACTTTTTTCCCTCACTGTACATACATACATACATACATACATACATACATACATACATACATACATACATACATACATACACACACACATACATACATACATACGCATACATACATACACATACTTAATACATACATTTACATACATACATACATACACACACACACACACATACATACATACATACATACATACATACACACACACACACACACACACACACACACACACACACACACACACACACACACACACACATACATACATACATACATACATACAGTACCAGTCAAAAGTTTGGACACACCTACTAAGTTTTAGAACACCTACTCATTCCAGGGTTTTCCTTAATTTTTAATATTTTCTACATTGTAGAATAATAGTGAAGACATCAAAACTATGAAATAACACATATGGAATCATGTAGGAACCAAAAAAGTGATAAACAAATCAAAATACATGTTATATTTGAGATTCTTCGAAGAAGCCACCCTTTGCCTTGATGACAGCTTTGCACACTCTTGGCATTCTCTCAACCAGCTTCATGAGGTAGTCACCTGGAATGCATTTCAATTAGCCTTGTTAAAAGTTAATTTGTGGAATTTCTTTCCTTCTTAATTCGCATTAAGACAATCAGTTGTGTTGTGACAAGTTAGGGGTGGTATACAGAAATAGCCCTATTTGGTAAAAGACCAAGTCCATATTATGGAAAGAACAGCTCAAATAAGCAAAGAGAAACGACAGTCCATCATTACTTTAAGACATGAAGGTCAGTCAATCTGGAACATTTCAAGAACTTTGAACGTTTCTTCAAGTTTCAAAAACCATCAAAAACCATCAAGCGCTATGATGAACCTGGCTCTCATGAGGACCACCACAGGAAAGGAAGACCCAGAGTTACCTCAGCTGCAGAGGATAATTCATTAGAGTTAACTGCACCTCAGATTGCAGCCCAAATAAATGCTTCACAGAGTTCAAGTAACAGACACATCTCAACATCAACTGTTCAGAGGGAACTGCGTGAATCAGGCCTTCATGGTCGTATTGCTGCAAAGAAACCACTACTAAAGGACACCAATAAGAAGAAGAGACTTGCTTGGTCCAACAAACACGAGCAATGGACATTAGACTGGTTGAAATCTGTTCTTTTGTCTGATGAGTCCAAATGTGAGATTTTTGGTTCTTACCGCTGTGTCTTTGTGAGATGCAGAGTAGGTGAACGTATGATCTCCGCATGTGTGGTTCCCACCGTGTAGCATGGAGGAGGAGGTGTGATGGTGTGGGGGTGCTTTGCTGGTGACACTGTCAGTGATTTATTTAGAATTCAAGGCACACTTAACCAGTATGGCTACCACAGCATTCTGCAGCGATACGCCATCCCATCTGGTTTGTGGATTAGTGGGACTATCATTTGTTTTTCAACAGGACAATGACCCAACACACCTCCAGGCTGTGTAAGGGCTATTTTCCCAAGAAGGAGAGTGATGGAGTGCTGCATCAGATAACCCGGCCTCCACAATCCCCCGACCTCAACCCAATTGAGATGGTTTGGGATGAGTCGGACGGCAGAGTGAAGGAAAAGCAGCCAACAAGTGCTAAGCATATGTGATAACTCCTTCAAGACTGTTGGAAAACCATTCCAGGTGAAGCTGGTTGAGAGAATGTGTGGAAAGCTGTCATCAAACCTTTGACTGGTACTTTATATACATACATAGACACATACAAACACAGTCTTGTACAGTTAACCTTGTGGGGACACACAAGTCAGTCTCATTCAAAATCCTATTTTCCCTTACCCTAACCTTAACCCAAAAACCTAACCTTAACCGTAACCCTAAACCTAACCCTAGCTCCTAACCCTAACCCTAAAACTAACCCTAACTGTCACGATCATTATGAGAAGCGGACCAAGGCGCAGCGTGATAGGCGTACATACTTTTATTAAGTGTACACAACACGAACAAAAACAACAAAACGATACGTGAAGGTAATAGAACAAACCATACAAGATCCCACAATAAACTGGTGCCAACAGGCTGCATAAGTATGGTCCCCAATCAGAGACAACGAGCTACAGCTGTCTCTGATTGGGAACCACCCTGGCCAACATAGAAACTAAACGATCTAGAACACAACATAGAAAACTATAACATAGAAAAATCCACACCCCGGCTCAACATATAAGAGTCCCCAGAGCCAGGGCGTGACAGTACCCCCCCCCCCCCCCCCCAAAGGCGCAGACTGCGACCGCGCCACACCAACACAACAGGGTAGGGGCCGGGCGGATCCGGCTCCGGGCGTGACCACCACTCTCTCTCTACCTCCCCGTTGCGCCCCTGGTCTGGTCCCGCTGGCCGGAGCTGGACTGGACACCGGTGGAGCAGGCACGGGCCGTGCCGGACTGACGACGCGCACCACTGGCTTGGTGCAGGGATTAGGAACGGGCCGGACCGGGCTGACGACGCGCACCACTGGCCTGGTGCGGGGAGCAGAAACGGGCCGGACCGGGCTGACGACGTGCACCACTGGCTTGGTGCGGGGAGCAGGAACGGGCCGGACCGGGCTGACGCCGTGCACCACTGGCTTGGTGCGGGGAGCAGGAACAGGCCGGACCGGGCTGGCGACGCGCACCCCTGGCTTGGTGCGGGGGACAGGAACGGGCCGGACCGGACTGGTGACACACACCACTTGCTTGGTGCGAGGAGCGGGACTGGGTTTCCTCATAAACCTCCGCTAAACCTCCGCTCCCTCTGCTGCCTAACCAGTTCCTCTCGCCGTGCCTCTACACTCTCCTTCTCCCTCGTGACCAATAGCCCCCGTAACCTGGTGGCCTCCTCTCCTAGTCCGCCGATTCGCCCTGTAGCTGCCTCCAGTAGCCCCGTCGTCCACGCCGTGTGCCCCCCCCCCAAAAAAATGTCTTGGGGTTGCCTCTCGCGTGTCCGTCGTCGGCACGGTTGGCGCCGTTTCTCCTCTCCTGCCTGGGCATTTACTTTTGCCCATGGCCCTCTGCCCGCGAATATGTCCTCCCATGACCACCAATCGCCCACCTGAGCCATCGCCCTCTTCTCCTCCTGGGCACGCTGCTTGGTCCTCTGGTGGTGGGATCTTCTGTCACGATCGTCGACTGATGAAGCGGACCAAGGCGCAGGGTGATAAGCGTACATTCTTTATTAGTGTACACAACACGAACCAAAACAATAAACAAACGATACGTGAAGTCCTAGGTTACAACACAAACCTCTACGGAACAAGATCCCACAAAGACTAGTGCCAAACAGGCTGCCTAAGTATGGTCCCCAATCAGAGACAACTAGCTACAGCTGCCTCTGATTGGGAACCACCCTGGCCAACATAGATATAAACGATCTAGAACGAAAAACATAGAAAACTAAACAATGCAAATCCACACCCTGGCTCAACATTTAAGAGTCCCCAGAGCCAGGGCGTGACACTAACACTAACCCTAATTCTACCCTTAAGCCTAAACCCCCTAGAAATAGCATTTGACCTTGTGGGGACCAGAAGTCACCACAATAATATTTAAACACGTCCACTCACTCACTCAATCACTCACACACACACACACACACATAAGATAACAACAGTAGGTTTTGATTGTGTGACTGAATGTGATGGTGACTATGATGTCAATGTGATGGTGACTATGATGTCAATGTGATGGTTACTATGATGTGAATGTGATGGTGACTAGGATGTCAATGTGATGGCGACTATGATGTCAATGTGATGGTAACTATGATGTTAATGTGATGGTGACTATGACGTCAATGTGATGGCAACTATGATGTCAATGTGATGGCAACTATGATGTCAATGTGATGGCGACTATGACGTCAATGTGATGGCGACTATGATGTGAATGTGATGGTGATTTGTTGTGTTTTTTATTGACCCCGTGATCATGTGTGTCTCCAGATGGAGGAGGTCACAGAGAATCATGAGGCGGCCCTGACTGAGATGGAGAACAACCACAACGACACGCTGGTCACTCTGAAAGAGGAGCATGCCAGGACTGTCAAAAGTACGTACCGCTCTGTGGACTCTCTCTCTCTCAGACCAGGTTGTGTTGAAGAGAGAGAGAGAGAGAGAGAGAGAGAGAGAGAGAGAGAGAGAGAGAGAGCGAGAGAGCATCTAGATATAGAGCGATCGAGAGCTAGAGAGTATAGACGAGATCTAGCTCCTTCTATCTCTCTCTTCTCTATAGTCTCCTCTCTGATATCTCACTCGTTTTCTCTCTCTCTCTCTCTCTCCTAGTCTCTCTTCTCTCGCTCTCTTCTCGTTGGCTCTCTTAACTTCCTTGCCTTGGTTGCTTCTTGCTGCTAACTTGTCATGCTTTCCTTGGTCAATTGTGTTCTGATGTTTCCATACAGACCTGAAGATGGCCCATGAGCAGCAGAGGAAAGTCACTGGAGGAGGACTTTGAGAAGCTCAGACTGTCCCTGCAGGTACAGCAGAGCTACTTTAATGGACCAATCAATTCATTGATTGCAATGATGAAATACTATAATGTAGTGTTTTAAACACTTGTTGTCCAGGACCAGGTGGACACGCTGACGTTTCAGAACCGCAGCCTGAGAGACCGAGCCAAGCGCTTTGAGGAGGCTCTATGCAGGAGCACCGACGAACAGATAGTGGTAACAGCAGCCCTAGATTTAAACCTTGTTTATACCTGGTGCTAACATGCGTCCTTTGTCCTGAGACGATTAAGAGACCCATTGTGATCTGATTGTGATCGGATCCTCCAGCCCAACCCCCAGAGGTAGTCAGAGACCCATTGTGTCTGGATATCCTAAAAGTATAGATGGATCTAGACAGTGACACCATTTAAATTGCCATTATATCGCCCTCTAAAAACATTGACAGGTGGCACCATTGACTAAAATATACTGAACAAAAATATATACATTATATATTATTATTATTTATTTGATATATTATTATTATCATTATAAATGGGATTCAGTCCCTCATCATTTCTTGGTTTGCTGTTGATTTCTTGGTTTGCTGTTGATTTCTTGGTTTGCTGTTGATTTCTTGGTTTGCTGTTGATTTCTTGGTTTGCTGTTGATTTCTTGGTTTGCTATCAGGATGCTCTGGCTCCGTACCAGCACATTGAGGAGGATCTGAAGAGCTTGAAGGAAGTTCTGTTAATGAAGAACCAACAGATCCACGAACAGGACGTTAAGATCTCGGAGCTGGAGAGAATGGTAGGCTCATAGTGAATGGTAGGCTCATAATGAATGGTAGGCTCATAATGAATGGTAGGCTCATAATGAATGGTAGCCTCATAATGAATGGTAGGCTCAAAATGAATGGTAGGCTCATAATGAATGGTATATATCAGAATGGTTATTTATCAGAATGGTTATGTATCAGAATGGTTATTTATCAGAATGGTTATTTATCAGAATGGTTATTTATCAGAATGGTTATGTATCAGAGTGGTTATATATCAGAATGGTTATTTATCAGAATGGTTATGTATCAGAATGGTTATTTATCAGAATGGTTATGTATCAGAATGGTTATTTATCAGAATGGTTATTTATCAGAATGGTTATGTATCAGAATGGTTATTTATCAGAATGGTTATGTATCAGAATGGTTATTTATCAGAATGGTTATTTATCAGAATGGTTATGTATCAGAGTGGTTATGTATCAGAATGGTTATGTATCAGAATGGTTATGTATCAGAATGGTTATGTATCAGAATGGTTATGTATCAGAATGGTTATTTATCAGAATGGTTATTTATCAGAATGGTTATGTATCAGAATGGTTATTTATCAGAATGGTTATTTATAAGGCAGAGCGACAGAAGGAACCTCCAGAGAGTGGTGGCTTGTTATTGAGCAGAGAAAGTGGTTGGTTTGAATCATTTAATGTTTCGCTATGTGTGTGTGTGTGTGTGTGTGTGTGTGTGTGTGTGTGATGTTGATTTTAATGTTGTGCGCTACTGTCCATGTGTTTTTTGAGCAGGCCCAAAAGAACGTGTTCCTGGAGGAGAGAGTACAGATGTTACAGCAGCAGAATGAAGACCTAAGGGCCAGGATAGACAGGAACCTAGCCTTGTCCCGGTAACACACACACAGACACACACACAGACACACACACAGACACACACACATGCACACGCACTAGCCTTGTCCAGGTAACATACACACAGACACACACACATGCACACGCACTAGCCTTGTCCAGGTAACATACACACAGACACACACACATGCACACGCACTCGCAGACATCTTTTCAAAGTGTAGTCCGACAACACCTCACCTTTTTAAAGGTGTTCGTTCTGTCTTTTGTTATCTCATAACTAGTGCTGTTTTTTTACAACCCCTCAACACTCCTCCCCTCCTCCACCCTTCCCCCTCCCCTCTATCCACCCCCCCTCCCCTCCACGCCCTTCCCCCCCTCTATCATCCACCCCACCCCCCTCCTCCACCCCTACTTCCCCCTCTCAATCCCATCCCCTCTCCTCCACCCTTCCCCCTCCCCCTCTATCCACCCCCTCTCCTCCACCCTTCCCCCTCCCCCTCTATCCATCCCCTCTCCTCCACCCTTCCCCCCTCCCCCCCTCTATCCATCCCCTCTCCTCCACGCCTTCCCCCCTCCCCCTCTATCCATCCCCTCCCTCCACCCCGTCCCCCTCCCCCTCTAATATCCATCCCGCTCGGGTCCTCCACCCTTGCCCCCCCTGGCCCCCTCTATCCTCCCCCCCTCCACCCTCCCCCTCACCCCTTTCCTCCCCTCCTCACAACCTCCCCCTACCCCCAACCTCCGGAGTCAACTCAAACGGACCCCTAAGAAACCGTTCGGTCGAACACAGCACCTGCCTGTGCCTCTGCCAGCCCCCCCCCCCCATCCCCCCCCTCCCTCCCCCTCCCCACCCTCCACCCTCTCCCCCTTCCCACCCCTCTTCCTCCCTTGCCCGGGTCACCCCGCACACCGCCTCCTCCACCAATCAAAGGCCTCTCCCCCTCAATCCCTCCTCCCCTCCCGCCTCCCTCCCCCCTATCTACTTTCCGATAGGAAGATGAAAACCTTCCTCTCCCTTCCCACCACTCCCCTCTCATCCACTCCACCTGACTTTATCCACCCTATCCTCCCGCTGCTTCATCCATCCACTGCTTCATCCATCCATCCCTACTTCACCTCCCTGACCTTCACATCCATCTACTGCTTCATCCCTCCATCCACTGACTTCATCCATCCAATCCCACTGACTTCATCATCCATCCACTGACTTCATTCCATCAATCCATCCACCTCCACTGACTTAATCATCCATTCCACTGACTATCCACGACCCTTCATCCATCCACTGACTTCATCCATCCATCCACTGACTTCATCCATCCATCCACTGACTTCATCCATCCATCTACTGACTTCATCCATCCATCTACTGACTTCATCCATCCATCTACTGACTTCATCCATCCATACACTGACTTCATCATCCATCCCTGACTTCAATCCATCCATCCACTGACTTCATCCATCCATCCACTGACTTCATCCATCCATCCACTGACTTCATCCATCCACTGACTCCATCCATCCATCCACTGACTTCATCCATCCATCCACTGACTTCATCCATCCATCCACTGACTTCATCCATCCATCCACTGACTTCATCCATCCACTGACTTCATCCATCCATCCACTGACTTCATCCATCCATCCACTGACTTCATCCCTCCATCCACTGACTCGTCTTGTGAACGCCCTTCCTTTTTCTCTCCCTTTTTTGATGAGGAGGATGGATGGAGGATGGGATGGATGATAGAGGGATGGAGGATGGAGGGATGGAGGATAGAGGGATGGAGGATAGAGGATGGAGGATAGAGGGATGGAGATAGAGGGATGGAGGATAGAGGATGGAGGATAGGGATGATGAGGATGGAGATGGTGGATGGATGGATAGAGGATGGAGGATAGAGGATGGAGGCATGGGTGGAGGATAGGATGAGGGTAAGGATGGGATGTGGTCTAGCGTGTGGGATCGAGGTGAGTGTGCGCTGCGGTGGTGCTGCTGCGGAGCTGGGCGTACGGGGCTGCGGTGGGTGCGGTGGTGGCTCGCGGGTGGCGGCTGGCGGGGATCGAGGATGGGTGGAGGATGGAGGATAGAGGGATGGAGGATAGAGGATGGAGGATGGGTGGAGGATGGAGGATAGAGGGATGGAGGATAGAGGAACATCTCTCCTTCCATCCACTCATCTCTGGAACTCTGGAACTTTTTATCTGTCCTTTTCTCTTTTGGGTGAAGAGGAACCTCGTTCTGTCCCGATGAGGGAGAAATATGTCTCCATCCAGTCAACTCAGAAACGTTTTCCCCCTTTGTGCGCATTTGTCTCCCTATCTAAGGATATTTAATGAGTTGGCTTCCATGCTGACCAAACCCGTTTTGAAGTGTTTGCATCTCTGAAGTGAACAACCCTCTCTCTGTAAACCAGTCCAGTGTCCTGCTACTAGATTAATATATACACAGGCAACTCATCTGTGTGACACATTCTGACGTGACAGAGCATGTCTCCCGAGGCCAGAGCTCCCTCCATCCATCTGTTTGTATCTCTGACTTCATGTATTGTATCACAAGTCTGTGCTTTCTAACCACAGAGGTTTTTAAAATGTTGGATTTTTTTACCCCCCTCTTTCTAAAGTACGCTAATGCCCCTTCCTTATGTGAATTCTATCAAGCAGACAGACCGATGTAGAAGAAGGACTCACTCCGCCATTTTGGATCTCATGGTGCCTACAGTATCTATCTCTATGTATTTGCCTCTAACTGCATCGCCATCTACTGGTCAGAAACGCAACAATGAATAACAACAAGCGCCTTCGATGTCCTGTCCTTTACTGTCTGCCTTCTGGATACTGTATACAGGCAGGCCTCTCACCAGCAATATCCCTCGCAAGGCCCCGGAAATACACGACAGCATTAAAAAACAACTGCATATGGGGCGGCAGGTAGCTTAGTGGTTAAGAGCGTTGTGCCAGTAACCGAAAGGTCGCTGGTTCTAATCCCCGAGCCAACTAGGTGAAAAATCTGTCGATGTGCCCGTGAGCAAGGCACTTAACCCTAATTGCTCCTGTAAGTCGCTCTGGATAAGAGCGTCTGCTAAATGACGTAAATGTAAAATGGATTCATAATGTTAGCCTTGATATACTGCATGTTACGTCATTTAGCAGACGCTCTTATCCAGAGCGACTTACAGGAGCAATTAGGGTTAAGTGCCTTGCTCAAGGGCACATCGACAGATTTTTCACCCAGTCAGCTCGAGGACCTTTCGGTTACTGTCTCAACGCTGTTAACCGCTAGACTACCTGCTGACCCGCATGTGAATAGGTACAGTATACTAGTAAGCAGCATTGCAATTCTACATTACTAGTTAAGATCATAAGGTCTTGACACCCCATTTAATCCAGTTTAGCCATAGACTGCTACTGAGCCACATGAAGGATCAATGTTGGATACAGAAACCTACCGACCGAACACTGACAGTCCTAGAAAGACTTGGATCGTCAAGGCATCTGTTCAGTACTTTAGTTGAGGGTCCCTGTAGGGCTGTGCAGTACTTTACAATAGGATCCCAGTAAGGCTGTGCAGTACTTTAGGGTCATATATAATAGGGCTTTACAATACTTGACTTAGTACAGCTGTGGAGAACCTGGTCTTCACAGTAGGGCTGTGTAGTTCTTTACTTTAGGGTCCTTAGACAGTAGTACTGCGCAGTACTTTAGGGTCCATAGACAGTAGTACTGTGCAGTACTTTAGGGTCCTTATACAGTAGTACTGTGCAGTACTTTAGGGTCCTTAGACAGTAGTACTGTGCAGTACTTTAGGGTCCATAGACAGTAGTACTGTGCAGTACTTTAGGGTCCATAGACAGTAGTACTGTGCAGTACTTTAGGGTCCTTATACAGTAGTACTGTGCAGTACTTTAGGGTCCATAGACAGTAGTACTGTGCAGTACTTTAAGGGTCCTTAGACAGTAGTACTGTGCAGGACTTTAGGGTCCTTAGACAGTAGTACTGTGCAGTACTTTAGGGTCCATAGACAGTAGTACTGTGCAGTACTTTAGGGTCCATAGACAGTAGTACTGTGCAGTACTTTAAGGGCCCTTAGACAGTAGTACTGTGCAGTACTTTAGGGTCCTTAGACAGTAGTACTGTGCAGTACTTTAGGGTCCATAGACAGTAGTACT